GCACCGCCGTGCGGTCCCTGCGTCGAGGGTCGGCTGCGCGCCACCCCTCATTCCTCCTCCCTTCGTCCGGCCACCGAGCCTTTTGAGACGCTCCACTTGGACGTCTGGGGCCCCGCCCCTCGCCTTGGCCCTGAGCGCGAGCGTTTCTTTTTGGTGGTCGTTGACGACTACTCCCGCTACACCACAGTGTTCCCCCTGGCGAAGAAGTCTGAGGTGACTTCTACGCTGATCAGGTGGTTGCTTACCACTGAGGGCACTCGTGGTCGTCGTGTCAGCTGTCTTCACTCTGACCGTGGGGGTGAGTTTCGCTCCGGCATTCTCGCTGGATTCTGTCGCGAGCAGGGCATTCGTCAGTCCTGGACGCTTCCAGAGTCCCCACAGCAGAATGGGGTTGCTGAGCGCCGCATAGGCTTGGTCATGGAGATCGCCCGCACCTCCTTGACTCACGCCCGTGCCCCCCATTTTCTGTGGCCCTACGCGGTTAGGTACGCCGCTCACCAGCTGAACCTCTGGCCACGCGTCTCTCGGCCAGAGGCTTCACCGACCAGTCTTTGGACCGGGTCCCCTGGTGTTGCGTCGAGGTTTCGTGTCTGGGGTTGCTTGGCTCTTGTCCGCGACACTTCCGCGGACAAGCTCTCACCTCGCGCCGTTCCCTGTGTCTTCCTTGGTTTCCCTGAGGACTCCTCTGACTTCACCTTTTACCACCCTCCCTCTCACCGGTTCTTTGACTCCCGTGACGTCCGTTTCGAGGAGTCCACCCCCTACTACGTCAGGTACCCCAGTCGAGGTCTCCCGGTTCCTCCTCCCCCTCTCTTCCTGACTTCCGCTCCCCCTCCTGCTCCCCCGGTACAGCCTCCCCCCCCTGGTCCCGCCCCGTCAGGTGTGTCCCAGGCTACCCCTCCCCCCTCGGTAGCCCCTCAGGTGCAGCCTCCTTCCCCGCAGTCCTCCTCGCAGCCTGCTGCGGACCCTGTGGGAGCCGGTGCTCGTGGAGAGGGCCCTACAGGTGCTACGTCTTGGGGTGCGGGTGCACCCTCTTCGGGTCCTGGTGAGCCTGGTCGTGTTGCTGTTGGTGGTGCTGACTCTGGGGGTGGTGCGCCAGGTGCTTTGGAGGGCGGTCCCGGGGCTGCCGCAGCCCCCGACACTACTCCTCCCCCCCACCCCTACCCGACCCGGCACCAGGCTCGTGTTCGCCGTGCCCGTGAGGAGCAGCTGGAGTTGGAGAGAGAGGAGAGAGAGTTGCAGCGGCTGGAGGAGCAGCAGCAGCAGCAGGAGCAGCTGCAGCAGCCGCAGCTGGAGCCGCCGCAGCAGCAGGAGGTGCAGGAGCTGGAGCCGCTACAGCAGCAGGAGGAGCAGCAGCAGCAGCAGCAGCCGCCGCCTCCTCCTCCTGTCTCCGGTCTTCGGGCCCTCGGTCTCCCCTCCCGCTCTCCTTCCTCCTCCCCCTCTCCTCCCGTCTCGGGTCCTCCGCTTCCTCCTCCTGACCCCTCTCCAGCTGTTTTCCCTCGTTCTCAGTCTTCGTTGTCCCCTCCTCCTTCTCAGACTTGGGCCTCTCGTCGCTCCCCTCGTGCTCGTCCCTCGTCCCCTGTTCCCTTCACTGACCTTCGTACTGCCTTACTTCGTTCTAGCCCGCCTCGTCCGTCTCCGTCTGTGCTTCCGTCTCCTCCTGAGTCGGCCCTCACTGCTTCGCTTTCTACTCCTGTCACTGACTACTACCGCACGTACCGTCATGTTCTCTCTCGTGTTCTCGCCTCTCTTGTTACCCACCCTCGTGCCTCTGTGTCCTCTGTCTCCGCTCTTACTGCCGCAGTCACTGAGTTTGCCTCTACTCGCCGCCTTGACTTCGCCACCAGTCTTGTGGCTGCTCCTCCTTCCAGTCCTCTGGCCGTCGGGGGTGTGTCTGCCCTTGGCTGTGACGCCCTAGAGGACAGGCAGTTTGAGCTAGAGTTCCTAGCAGCCGCTTCCCCTCATCTTTGTGCCATGCTGCTCGCCCCTGAGGGAGACCCCGACGCCCTTGACATACCGACTCCTCGCACTTACGCTGAGGCAGTGTCAGGGCCTTGGGCCTCTCAGTGGAGAGCTGCCATGGACGCAGAGATGGCCTCCTACAGATCCACAGGCACCTACGTCGACGAGGTTCCCCCTCCTGGGGCGAACGTAGTCGATGGCATGTGGATCTACAGGGTGAAGCGGCCACCGGGATCTCCTCCGGTCTTCAAGGCGCGCTACGTGGCTAGAGGTTCCAGTCAGCGCGAGGGAGTTGACTTCTTTCAGACCTTCGCGCCCACCCCGAAGATGACCACTCTTCGGGTATTACTGCACGTAGCGGCACAGAGAGACTACGAGTTACACTCTCTCGACTTCTCCACTGCGTTTCTTCAGGGTAGCCTACACGAGGAGGTCTGGCTGCGTCGTCCCTCTGCCTTCACTGGCACTTTCCCTCCTGGGACCCAGTGGAGGCTGAGGCGACCGGTCTACGGTCTCCGTCAGGCTCCTCGTGAGTGGCACGACACCCTTCGTTCTACTCTCGCTGACCTTGGTTTTCAGCCGTCGTCTGCCGACCCGTCGCTGTTCGTTCGTTGTGGCTCCACACCGTTCTTTGTTCTAGTTTACGTCGACGACCTGGTTTTCGCCACTGCTGACAGGGTTGCCTTGGCAGACGTGAAGTCCGAACTGCAGAAGAGACACACGTGCACTGACCTTGGTGAGCTGCGTCACTACCTTGGCCTGCAGATCACCAGGGACAGAGCTGCTCGCACCATTACACTCTCACAGTCACACATGGTGCAGCAGGTCCTTCAGCGGTTCGAGCTTCAGCACTCCACAGTACAGTGCACACCTCTTGCTGTTGACCACAGACTCACTGGACCCTTTCCTGACGAGCCGTTTGAGTCCAGTGGTCCCTACGCAGAGTTAGTGGGCTGCCTCATGTACCTGATGACTTGTACTCGCCCGGACCTCGCCTTCCCTCTCAGCGTCCTTGCTCGCTTTGTTGCGCCAGGGAGGCACCGTCCTATTCACTGGATGGCAGCTGTGAGGGTGGCGAAGTACCTAGCGACGACATCAGGCGTGGGGCTAGTTCTTGGAGGGCAGCAGCCTGTCGTACTTACTGGTCACTGTGACTCTTCTTACGCTGACGACGCTGAGACTCACAGGTCTACTCAGGGGTACTGTTTCAGCTTGGGTTCTGGAGCTGTTTCCTGGCGGTCCACGCGCTCCTCTTCGGTCTCGACCTCTACAGCTGAGGCTGAGATCTACGCTGGTGCCATGGCGGCACAGGAGCTGCGTTGGTTGACGTTTTTGCTCGCTGACCTTGGTGAGCGGCCGAGCTCTGCACCGACCTTGTTCACTGACAACAAGGCGTCGATTCTCCTCTGTCGTGAGCCGCGACTGGAGAGCAGAGTGAAGCACATTCACGTCAGGTACTTCCTTATGCGAGAGTTGCATAGACGTGGACAGGCTCGCTTCGAGTTTGTGGAGTCCGAGGCCAACACTGCAGACATCTTCACCAAGGCGCTTCCGCCTTGTGACCACCAGAGGTGTTGTGTGCAGTTAGGCCTTGTTGACACAGGTTCTAGTCGTGTATAGGCTTGAGTTTACTGTTTTCTTTGCTTGTACTCTTGCTATACACACTTGTGAACTCTTGGACTGGCCTTGTGGCCACTGTTGCTTGTGCTCAGAGTGTGTGGTGACGTTGTGATCCACCCTGAGCTTTGTTTCTTTGTGACTGGTCTTGTGACCGTACACTTTTAGTTTTGCTAGACACCCCTCACTTAGGCTATGGGGGTGTGTCAAATATTGTAGCCTATAGTGAGGTTTGTCTTAGGGGGTACAGAAGTTAGGGTTTGTCATATGTACCCCAACTCACATCAATGACATAATCACTTCCTTTCTTGACATGATCCACTTATTTCTAGCAGGAAATTCATTTATCAACCTTAATTCCCTCAATCCGAGTTTATCACAATAAATAGCTTACTGGAAGATGGCCAATCTTTGTTTTGGAAAGTTGACATAAGACATTAACTTGATGCACATCACTCAGATTAGGTATGTATTTTTGAATGTTCTAGATTTCCAGTCTTGTTTGAAATGCCGCTTGTATTTTAATAAAGAAGCTCATTGTCTCGGGGTCATCCATCCTGCAGGCTTCGTGTGTCTTGCATCTGACAGCGCGCCGACACTTACCCACGTCAACCATCCCATGTGCCCCTGCAGTCTCACGCAACTGCCCCAGCCCTTGATTCCAACATTCCACTGTTTGGAGTGCTGCGAAGCTCGCCTGGATGGTAACTCCGCCACGTGGCAAGTATTTCTACCACGTCGCCTGTCTTGTACGATACCCCGCCGCGCCCTCTTGTCGGAAGCATTCCACATTGAAAGTCGCGGTTCGTACGTGGTTGATGCGCGGTTCGCAGGTGGATGTTCGTCTTCGTTGCGGAAGGCCGAGCAGGCAAACCCGAGGGGAGCACCGAGCAAGCATCGTCGGCACTGCACACAGCACCATTCAGCCAGTGCACCCCAATTAGCCCACCCACTCCATTTCTTGCGCCCTCTTCCGTCGGTCGCAGGTTTCGTCCCTTGTCATTCTGTGCTGCGGGACTGTCAGCCACCCTCTGTATGCCTAGCCTTGGAATGCCAGTGCTGTTTATGCTTCACCAGAGATGCGAAATCGTGAGAAGCGAGTGTCGAGATGGCGCGCACTTGACGAGGAGGTTTCGTTAGCACGAGTAGAGCATCGTCCGCTCGTTACAGAGATGGCGGAACGACCTCTGCCTAGGAGCGGAACCTCACCAACCGTCGTACGCGATAATGAACGAAGCACATGCGATCACTTGGACGAACCTAACGAGAGAATAACATCCGCTAGCGTAGGCTTGTCACCAGAGAACCTAGACCGCCAATTAGATCCGTCCCTTAACGGCCTTACAGCGAAAACCCGCATAACCCAACGACCGCCGCCGCAGCAGTCGAAGGCGTCCCGTCTCCCGTCCGTCGCCGCCGCCATGCTCCCGCAAAAACCGCCTCGACTGCGCTGGCGCCGCGCAACTCCTTCACTCCCCCGCCCTCAACCGTCCATTCTTCTCTCTCTCCGCCACTACCAAAGTCTGCTCCTCCTCTCTCTGACTGTCTTCTCCCTCCTCACTCCCTCTCTCGGGCGCCACGTCATCGTGGGTCAACGGCATATAGACGGCTTCAACTACCCGTGGAATCCTGTCGTGAACTACACGCAATGGGCCGCTACCTTCCCTGTCATTGCAGGCGATACCCTGGGTAGGTGTTTCCCTTTCTCCTGCATACGACGCGTGTGTAGTCGCTTGCTCCCAGTTTCAAATCAAATATTAATAGTAACCTTTCAGAAAATGGCAAAAAAAAAAACTCTCACTGTACTGTTGCCATTCTTGCATTCACTGCTCTGTCCCTGTAACTCTTTGCCCTAAGCATATCATCTCCCTTCATTTTTTTTTTTAAGCGTTCAGCAGTTGCTGATGCTACTGAATTTTCCTCCCACCTGTCGCGTCCTTTCCACTATTTTTGTCGCGCTCCTCTCGTTACAGTGTTTCAATACGAGTCAGGCGAAGAAGTTGTGTACGAAGTGCCGTCGCAGGGCGACTTAGACGACTGTCGCCTGGACGACGCGCGGTTGCTGTGCGACTCACTGGACGGCGACGGCGGCAGGAGCAGCGACCGAGGTGGACACGTGAGGGGGTGCCGCGTGGCAGTCGAGCCACGTACTCGCTATTTCACTTCAAAGACTGATCACTGCCGCGCGGGACAAAGGGTGAGCTTGTAGTCTCTAACGGGTTGCTGACTTTGCGAGTACTTTGTTGTGATTAAGGGACGGACAACGGGGCCGGTTCGTTTTAGTGTTGACAATTTTGCATTACCGTACTCTGAATATAATCGATGTCACACTGTCGGTTGCTCGTGCCTTCACAGGTCGTGATACGACCACGAGAAAGTGGTTCGGAACACGTCAGCGCTGATTCGCACGGGGGTGAGGGGAGGAGCAGCACGGACAGCGACAGTGTTAACGATAGCACAAGCTCGCCGTCCATTCATCGTCGCCGCAGCAGCATCAGCAGCATTCGCAGCGTGGGTTCCAGCAGCACCAGCAGCCGCAGCAGCAGCAGCAGCAGCAGCAGCAGCAGCAGCAGCAGCAGCAGCAGCAGCAGAAGCAGTGAAAAGGCCAACAGCAGTCTAGACCTACCCGAGCGGTTGTGGCGGCCGCCCGAAGCGCCATCCCTCGTGAGCACCGCCGCAGCAGGCGGGCGGCGGGTGATCGTGGGGGCAGCTGCCGGCGGGTACAACTACCCGTGGAACCCGGCTGTGAACTACAACGCGTGGAATGCGGCCAATAAGCTTTACGCTGGAGACTTCGTGGGTACGTGACGCGCGCGCGGGAGGGCTGGGTGGGGGGTTGTGCTGGATGCGAGTTCCACAACACGGCCTGGAGTATCTTTGCTAATATATTCCCCAATCATTGTTCCCAATTCCGTGGTTACAAACTTTGTTTTTTGCGCCTTCTTTCGCCCCCCGTTTTCGTTGTCCGCAGTTTTCAAATACCCGGCGTTCCAGGAAGAGGTGGTTCAGTTCTCGACTCTGGCGGACTTCAAATCGTGCAACTTCCGCGCAGCCAAAATCATCTGCTACGACTCATGGGGCGCGGGCGCAAACGGGTGCGCCATCCGCGTGACCGCCGCGCCGGCCATGTACGCGTCGGGGCTGTACGGGCACTGCAAGGCGGGGCAGAAGCTCGTGGTGAAGGCTTCCGCGCGCCCGTATTCTCCGCGCACGCTCGTGGTGGGGTACATGTCGCAGCAATTTGCGTGGCAGTGGAATCCCGAGGCGCAGCTAGTGAAGTGGGCGAGCACGAATAAGGTTTACGTGGGCGACACGCTGGGTGAGTGACGGGTGTTGGGTTGATATGTGGTGGCGCCGTGTAGTGTGGAAGGATTGGGTGGTTTGTGTCGTGTAGTTTTTGTTGCGCGTATCATCCAGTTCTAACAAATATGAACCTCCTTCTTCTTCTGCTTTTCCCCTCCAGTGTTCAAGTATCCGCCTTACAAGGACGAGGTGTACATTGTGCCAACACTCGCCGACTATAACAACTGCATCTACACCAATTACGTTTCGTACTGTAACGGCACGGACGGAGGCGGGCAAGGGTGCTTCACCAACCCCATCACCAGCACCACCTACTTCGTATCCGGCCTCTACAGCCACTGCAAGGCCGCTAACCAGAAGGTGAGCATGTAACGATGGGTAAAAATGGGTAGGGGGGAAGGGAAGGGTGGGAGTCGGGATTGACGACATGCACGTCATACGAAGCCAGTCTTTAAGGAATCATGCATGTGAACCTTTCATGAAGGTGCATACATGCATGTGAGCTTCTCATGCTTTTCATGTGAGCTTTCGGCAGAAGCCGGTCTTTTTCCTTTCCTTGTTTTAGCTTATTATTCTTCAACATTGCACCTCTTCCTTCCCTTTTGGGATGTATATATGCAGATCATTACCACTCCTTTGAAGCCGCCGTCATGAGACTTCTTCCTGCTGGTGCTTGGCACACCCCTGACCGTTGTGGTGGACGGGTGAACTACACACCCCTCTTAAACCACATGCCTGCGTGCCTGCCTTGAGAAACACATCAAGAGAGGCTCTAAAGGAGGGAGGACGCAACAGCAGGTCAAGTTCAATGCGCGGGGCAGGCAGGAGGGAGGTGAGGTGGCATTGCTTACTGTCTCAACGAGGTGATACATTCTGTACCAGAAGGGCGAAAGATACTGCGAGGAGCACTGGGAGAAGAGCTAATAGCTGGGAGGAGCGAGGCGAGTTAGGAGAGAATAACTCGGACCCAGAACTAACCCCCACTGATTGGCAAAAGCCAAGCAGATCGATGTTCATGCCTTTTTGGCAGTGTGACTGTCTGTATTATGTTTGTATAATGAAAAGCTATTTATCACAAAAGAGTGAGGCAGCTTTTAATCTACAATGCTGCTGTAGAAAAGATTGCTCATAACCACACTTGTGTATTTTACACAAATATCCAACAGCATATTCACTTCAGCACCAATATCCCCCACCACCAGTCAGTCGACCACTCAACAACCACTACTGGCAGATACAGACAATCACGTCGTGTGGACAATCCAACGGCATGGATCCATACTCCTATGCATATTTTTTCCCGCCATGCTCTATGTGGCGGTGGTCGTACTGGCCCTCACCCTTGCCCACACGCTTATCGCGCTCGGTGCCCGTGTCCTTGGTCCCCACCTCAGGCGCTTCTAGTTTTGCATCCATGTTTTCGGTTATCTGAAACTGTACTTCCGCCAATGTACCTCCATGATACTATTCTCAACTGCTGTATCCTGCTGTGAACCTCAGAAACAGGAGATTGCAGGCAAGCCCATCACCCCGCGGGATGCGGCTGAAGCCAAGTCGGAAGCAATGAAGGCTGGCGAGCCAACAGGAAAGGGAAGCCTGCCAGCACGAATGGAGGTACGACGAAAGTCCTATAAAGTCAAGCAGCAATTTCTCACGTGACATTCATATGTCGGTAGCTACGCAAATCACCAGTGAACCAGCCCACTCACGTCAGTACGGTAGGTTTCCGCAAGCCAATAGGAACTCAATGCTCCTGTGTTCCTTTTCCCTCACACTTACCTTCACTCCTTCCCTGTACAGGCAGCAGCAGCGTTCAACGTGAGGGAGCACGTGGTGCTGACCTGCTTGCGTGACTACGCTAGTGTGACTGCGCTAGTTGTACGTTCTCACCTGCTCTGCGCTGCCTCCAATGGTTTCCACCTCCTCTTGGGGAACTGCTTCGTGCTGCTCTTTCTCGCTCGTTGTCTGCATCGTTGCGAATGATCACGAATTTGGGGAGTCCGAGAGTTACCGTACTTGGTAAGGCAAATGAGAACGCTCTGGTCGAGTCGAAACGAGGTGCCAGTTTTGGTAAATATGCGCCTCATGAAATGAATTCCATTCTTTGGGAGGGAGAGAAATGCCGCAACAAGACTTGTGTTGCGATGCAATCCTGCCATTCTCTTCAATGTTGACAACGCGAAGCGCGGCTGGATGCATGGAGTGCTCCGCCATCTCCGGAAATGCTGTGTTCACCACGTGTTTGTACTTGGTATTAGCTTTCTCGGGTGCAAGACATGCTCGTACAATGCGAACTACAGCTCCGCAGAATCCACTATCATTACTGAACCGTGCTAAAACCCGAATCCTAGTTTAGCAATTATAGAGTAGTAAAATATAAAATTAAATATATGGCTGTATTTTATGTTATGCCAATGAAAAATTACCAGAAATCGTTGCATGTGGGAGTTTGTTCTAGTGTGACATTGGGTTGTATTTCCAATGGATCTGATAAATGTTTTCTTGCATTCTTACACTAACGAATCTTCTAAGCAACGGAGTGGAGTCTGCCTGGCTTGCATCGAATGGAACGGCAGCAGGTGTGGATGGAAGCTCCTGCTCCGTTGCCTCATGCGCTTCACCAGGATCCGTCCGTGCCTGTGTGCTTCACTAGTCTCGAATATGACGAATCTCCGCCGCACTATGATCTCACGGGACAGCTTCATTACACGCACAAATCCTGGTGTGAACGTACGGAATGGGCGGCTTACGTTATGTTTTTGTAATATCTCACGTTCATCGCAAGGAGTCTCGACAATCACAACGGCATCAGGACGATCTGGCCGCAGTCCCAGCAAGGGAACGTTGTCCGTTTGGGCTGGCTAATGGCTTTCGTCGCCGCCTCCTCGTTTTTAGCGAGTCGCCGTTCAGAAACCCCTTTCAGTAATTAAGCTACACAAATCGACGTTAGTCTCTCAGGCAGGTCACTCATGTAAGACGTTGCTATGACTCCGTCTCTCCTGCTGCGTCTAGGGCTCTCCCTCCTAGTGCCGCTATGTGGAGCAACAGCAGCGGGAAGTGCGGGGAGTGCAGCACTATGGAAGAGCTTGCTGTCTGACGGCTTGTATCCGATTCCGGCCGTTGAGGTGAGGGAGACGGCGATGATGTGAGAGGGGTTAGCATGAGGCGAGAAATGTTCTGGGGTGGTAATAATTTGCCGGGGAGTTTTTTTCTTACAAGTACACTTAAAGGTTGCTTCTTCTCAAGCTCGGGATTTCTCACGTTTCAATACCTTATTCAAACCCTTATTCGCCTTGCATGCTGGTTGCAGTAGCACACCTCGTAAATAAATCTCACTCCCTCACTCCCTCGTCCCTTCTCTCCCTCACTCCCCCGTCCCTTCTCTCTCTCCCTCTCTCCTTCCTCTCTTTCTCTCTCTCACTCCCCTCCTCTCTCTCACTCTCTCTCTCACACACAAGCACACACACTCTCCCCGCCTCTCCCCCCTCCCCCCCGTCCTCTCTCCCTCCCTCTCTCTATATCTCTCTCACCTCCCTCCCCTCTGCAGCCGTCGACCCAACCGCTGGTACCATCTCTGCTCCAGTCACAACCACTGCTCCGAGGCCATCCCTTCCGTGGAAGCCAGAAGCAGGTGCTTGCCGGGTCAGGCAACACCATGTACCACCAGGAGAAGAACGCAGGCAGCATCAACAACCAGGGCTCTGAGATTACTTTTGAGCCGACTCAAACGCCGCTACTCCGAGGCCATCCCTTCCGTGGCAGCCAGAAGCAGGTGCTTCCCGGGTCAGGCAACACCATGTACCAGCAGGAGAAGAACGCAGGCAGCATCAACAACCAGGGCTCAGTCAACAATCAGCGCTCCAAAGTGTACCGGGACGGCCCGGGGCTCGGAAGTGCGTCTACAGTGCAGTCTAACTCGCAGACTCAGTCGGCGGACACCAACCCGGTTACCACCACTGTTTCGGTCGACTCTCCGTCCACGACAAACGACTACACAGGCTCGAGTAACGGCCTGTATGGGCTTGCAGGCTCGGGTTTGGGAGTACCTGGAGGGATGCGTGGGCTTCCGGTTGCTGTTGCTGAGACTGTGTTGCCGTTTGCGAATGGAGTGTTAAGACACGATTCTTCGCCCGTGTGTGAGTCGCAGCAGTCAGGAGGATGCACGGGGGGAGGGCTTATCCCTCTGTCCCGCGCTAGCGGCCACCCAGCCTTGACAATCTCGTCCATCCCCTCGGGGTTACCATAGCTGGACTGGCCTGTATTGGTGTATTTCATAGTTGGCTGAAACTGAATTCGGTGCGCCCCTGCAGTGTTACGTACATGAGAGGTAGAACGGTCACCACCACCAGGTTGTCTGCCAGCACTGCATTTGTGAAGCATAGCAGGTTGCTTTCATGTCGTGCCTTGGTTGCCTTGCCGTAGATTTGTTACTTTGAGCCTTCTTTGTTGTGATGTTTCACATGAGCATTGACTTCGGCTAGTGTGAAGAGACGTGCATAAATTTGTGTGATGCAATATTCATGCCACTTTCTAGAAAAATGTTGGTGCAATGTTCATGCCATAAGTTGAGTGTTTATGGAACCACTAGTGTGGCATGATGTGAAGCAGTGGTACAGAAAATAATGCCCGGTGTTTAACAAATGCGTTCTGTGGTGTAGATGGCGGTTTTACAGCGCGTCAGCATCAAACGATGTTAATGTTCACCATGTTCCAACCCAGCAATAATCCGACGCCACATAGACCACACAGACCACATCAGACCGTGTCGGACCATAGATCCCTGCTCCCGTCGTAGCCATGGCGGGCCTGCCGCGATTGGTCCCTGCTCACGTCGCGGAGAACGTCGTTCGCGTGAGTGCTGCCGCTCGCTACAGTCACTCGCATGCTTATTCGCTTCTGTCACTCGCGTCTTTTTCGCTACTCTCACCCGTTCTTGCTCCCGCCACTCGCATCCGTCGCGCTCTTCCTCTTCCTCCGCCACCCTAGCTCTCTGTACCTCAACCAGTTTACCTAGCTCGCTCTTTCTGCTCGCTCTCGCTCTCGCGTACTCTGTCTCTCTATTAGTCCTGCATCTCCCGCCGTCCTGCTCTCCCGTTGCTCCCAGTCGCTGCGCTTTGCGAAATCGTTGTTCCGATCTCCTCCCGTGCGCGTGGGTGGTGGGTGGGCTTGGGAGAGAGAGGAAAGGGGGCTTGGTGGTTATTCGTGTGAGGTGTGCAAGTGTGGCTTGGGAGAGGGGTGTGGACGGCTGGGGTGGTGATGGTGTGTGGTCGGCTGTGATGGCGTATGGACGGTTGTGATGGTGTGTGGTCGGCTGTGATGGCGTATGGACGGCTGTGATGGTGTCCTGAGCAGCTATACCGTGACTGTCTTCGCATGGCAGACTACCTCACTCACTCGGTGCGACTCTCCCTTCTTTCCCACTCCTCCCCCGTCCACCTCTCCTCCTTCCAACTCTCCCTCTCCTCCATCCTCTGCTCCTTCCGCCCCACCTTCTCCTCCATTCTATACTTGCTTCTGCTTCTCCTCCTTCCCCTCCCCCCGGCCCTATCTTCCAATCCCCTTGGGCTCGTGTTCAATCAAGTGCTTTCTACCTGAAATCCGGTCCCTGCTTGTGTTTGCATCAGTAAGCCCCTGGTGCACAGCACCTGGTACAGCCCGCAGTCACCACAAAAACTCTAATCCGAACCCCTCACTGCCTGCCTGCCTGCGTGCCTGCCTGTCTGCCTGCCTGCTTCCCCGTCCGTCCGTCTGCCCGCCTGCATCAGAGGGGCCGAGGGCCTGCCGTGCGGGAGCACATTCGCAGCGAGTTCAGGAAGCACATGCACGAGACAGACCCCGCCAAGATAGCAGAGCTGAAGGAAAGGTAGGCTCGGTGCCTCTTCATGATGTGCTCCTCTTAGTATGTGCTGCTGCTCCTCGTGGCTCCATGTAGTGTTCTTGTGTGTTGTGTTGTGTTGCTGTTGTTGTGTGCTCCGATGGTGCATGCATTAGCCAATTTATTGATAGACCCTGTCGTTGCTATTCCTATTCACTGATTCCAGTGAAGACAACCGCACATACTCAGACAGTGTGCTATTTTTCTGCATTTGAATACCATTCACTTACAGATTACGCCTTTGTCCGTCCAGGGATGGCTACTTATGCTTTCTCTTCCCAGCAGTCGTCCTTTTTCTGCATCTCCTCGTCTTGCACTCTCCTATCCTCTCCCAAGACTCCTCCCTTGTTGCTAAACCCGGCACTTCTCCACAAAAAACGTTTCTCACTCTACTCCCCCTTTTCCCCACCTTCCCCTCCCCTCCCCTGAACACCACCCCTCCCCCGCATCCCTCCACCCACTCCCCCTCTCTGGCACTTCAGTGCAACTCGCGCTCTGACTAATTACATGGTGTATGAGGCAGGCAACCTGGCACGGCGAGGCAAGATACTTCGCCCTAGATGATGACAAGTCCAGCCGGCCCACTAGATGTCAAGAGATGTACATTCTAGCTGATACTGCATGCATGTTTCTCTGGAGGCAAGGTGGCCCAGGGTTACATAGTACATCCCGTTTCGAGGTAGCTAGGTAACACAGATGTTACCCTGTGATGTTCAGTTCTCAGTGGGGACAAGGACATGATTGAATCTAATGTATTGCCAGCCGCTGAAGACATTTACGGTACCATCAACTGGCATTTGAGCACTGGTAGTACCACCTATCCCCTTTTTGCAGCACAGAATGAAACCTATTAGCTGCACAGAAACTAAATCCACAAAATTTAACGCTAAAAAAAATGGTGGAGCCCTAATCAACTGACTGAAGCATGGTAACATGATATCAATTTAGGGAAAATAATCACCATATCCCGTATAAGATGCAACAGTCTACCCGGTCTACTAAGTGAGTGGGAACACAGAGAGATGAAGCACCGCAGGCACTGACAGCACTGCCTCGCGTCACTCAATTGTGGGATGTGAATCCATGACAACAGCAGTCATCACAGCGCACACACACAACCACATGGTCACCATCACAGGCCACACACTCTCCGCCGGCCAAACGTCCACCAGCATTTATTGCTAACCGGCCAGCAGCCGATGTGCAGGTGGTGCGGCGGCGTCAACGGCAAAGGGCTTGCAGAGGGGACGGAGCAGGGCGAAACGCGCAGCAAAAGGCGTGCAGGGGGCGAAGCGTGCAGGGTTAAGCTTGTCGCGGAAAGGAGAAAGCGGAGAGTACGGCGGACGAAGGGGAGGGGACTTTACAGAAAGGAATGATGCGAAAAGCGAACCAACGCAACGCGCGGAGAGGAAATTAGAAGCAGGAACCCAGCTAGAGACCCGCTCCTTAGATCCCTAACGCCGCCAAGCCAGCAACGAATCGTCGGCCCGCGCGAGTTTGCGGTAGCTCGATTTATCATTTCTCAAGATCGTAATCTGATTTCTTCTTGCCGCCCCCTGCCACCATCCCGTATTTCTCTTTCATCTTCTGCGCCAGCTGATGCGCGCTCGACGACTCAATCCGCGCGCGGCGCTCCTCCTCCTTAATCGCCTCCGCTGCCGCTTTTTTCGCTGCCGATGCAGAGTCAAGCTCCTCGTATCCCACGTCCAGGCACCCGCAGGACTGCGCGCAGCACGTGAGGATAATCAGCAGCAGCTGGAGCGTGAAAAGCGCGAGCATGATCCCGCCTTCGACGAGCACAAGACTCTGGGCCTTATCCATATCGATGGTCGGTTGCATGTCGTTGGCAAGCGTGTCGGGCTTGACCACGGCGATTATGCCCGTGGCGCATGTTCCGGCGATGGAGAGAGCGTGCAGGAAGATGTGAATCCCGCAGCAGCCGAATCGGCCTGAGAAAAATACGCCGAAGACGCCGGCGAGGAAGGTGATGCCGCCGACGATAATGAAGCCCCAACCCGCTAAGGCGGGGATTGGTCGGATGACGAAGATGAGAGCGACGGCTGCGATGGATCCGGCGAGGACGATGATGTGAAGGAGGGTGAGGATGAAGACGTAACAATTCGCGAAACAGCCGCGGAAGCTGAAAGCCATGGTTGCTGAGAGAGAGAAAGAAGAAAGAGAGACAAGGAACTGCAATGACTAAATGGTCTAATGGAAAGTAAATCACGTAATATGGGTGCCTCGATGTTGTCAGCAAAGGAAACCCAGCAATAATGGTGTGTGAAGTTGGCGGAGGCGAATTTGAGCCAATGCAAGGAAGTGGGGGTTGGAGAGTAGTGCAGGTGGCATCACAGGCTCAACTCGAAACACAGGCACCTGTCGAGGGGAGGACAAGGGGGCACTCGCAAGGGCCTGCCCTGGGATACTCCATTGGAAATCAGAAATTACTCGGTGCTCTATTGGAAGGAATTCTGAAAATCCCTGAAGGGCGGACACTTCGAGAACGAGCGCAGTTTCGCCTATTCCATGGCTCAGATTAGCGACTCGTGGATACTAACACAAAGTAGCTGGGAAGAGCTTTTGAGCGTAAAGAAAATGTTATCTTCCTACGAGCATAACAAATTTACCTTTCTGACTGATTGCTAGTACATGTGCACACTTATCGAATTGTGCATACACAAATTTCGAGAGGAGGCGCACATCCTTCCGATGAAATCAAGGTGGATTTGTATCGAAATCCAGCTAGAGGTCACAATTTGTTATTTACTCAAAGGTAATCACCCTATTGGGTTCTGGTCTTGTTGGGGGAGATTGATGGCTGGGGGAGAAGCGTGGAGGGAATGGAAATGTGATGGGTCTTTTTGGTGCGGGGAAGCAGCGGAAAGGGGAGGGGAAGATGGAATGGGCGGACGGAAACCAGGGCCCTGTTCGGCAGGCGTTAAAAAGGCCGTTAATATCAGGCTCGGGGACCGGCTACAGTAAAACAATAAGCGAACGTTCGGTTATCAAGGTTCGAGATAGGCGTTCTGCTGCCGAACCTGAGGGCGTTAAAATACCTGCCGAACGGCCCTTTTATTGCTGGCGTTTTTTGGAAAACGTTGGTTCCAGGAAATCACCTCCACGGGCAAAAGAGCGGACCACTGATCCGCCCCCTGGGCCCAGTTCGGCAGGCATTCTCGCCATTATCGCCATTATGGGCATTTTTAACGGGCCCCCAAAAAATGGCCCAAAGAAACAGACTGTAGCTGCAGTGAAACTTCGGAAAAATGGGCCCGAGTGTTCGGTTGGCATTAACTGAGCCAAGATTAATGGCATCAACCGAAAACGACACTTCGGAGAAGCCTGTATGCAGCCGCGCTGATGGAGCGCAGAATCACTGTTTTGGCAGCCTGGGCAGCCCTGCAAACCAGCGGTGGACGTCGAAAAAAATCGGCGAAGGGAAACTGTCCGTTCGATGTGTTAGTGATGGTGTGTTGGTGATGTGCGATTTTCCAGCGGGCACGAAGAGGGGTGAGAAAGACCGGGATTTTTTTTTTCAGGGCAAGGTGTGATTGCCCCGAATCAATGATCCCCCGCATGGTGTGGGACCTCGAGGCCGCATGGTGCGGCGGATGAGAAAATGGACAGTTTGCCTGAGAAATATGGTTCGAGGAAGGTTCCACTGGTAAAAAATGCCAGCGTTAAAAGGGGTGTTCGGCTGGCATTCCATTATTGTCTGGTTCGGCGATGATCCGCTTATATCGAGCCTATATAACCTTTCACACGCTTATCAAAGAAGGTTCCAGGGTGGTAGGTTTACTGTAGCCCATCCGGGGAAACCGTTTTTTTAATGCCTGCCGAACTGGGCCCTGGTGCGCCGTCGAGAGCTTGCACCATGCGGCGGATTGGTGATGCGGCCAATCATATGCGACTGGCCGAAAATGCAGACCAATCATGTGAATTTAGGAAGGTGCTGCGAAACTCACAACCTTTCCGTGCCGTTGTTTTAACGCCCATTAACGCCAGCCGAACAGCATCCACATGATTTTTTGCAGTTGCACAGCACATCGACGAAATTCTTCTGGTTCCCGAGCCTGCGTCTGGGCCAGCGGGTTTATAACGCCCATAACGCCCATAACTCCTGCCGAACAGGGCCCAGGGCTTGACGGACGGATTGATGATGGACTGGTGTGTTCGAGCCGCGTCAAATGGGGGCTTGGTCAGCCCAATGGGCATGGCTTGTGTCTTCGAGAGCGTGCGCGGGGGTGGCGGAGGGGGTACAGATTTCACCTGATTCCAGGAGAACCCAGTGCTCCATTTCCTCGATGTTGTCAACTACGCGGTGAAAAAGGTTTTGGTCGGGGTGTTGAAAGGATATTTTTCGGGTGTTGTGGAGGGAGGCAGGACAAGTGGAACGCGATACATGCCACCTCGAAATCTCCCTGAACAAAAATTGTTGATGGGCCATTCTCCATTCAAGGCACGCCACGCTGGTTATTTGACGGTCGATTGACGGTTGATTGACGGCTTCCTCTATCAAGAGTCCATTGAACCCTACGAACCTAGGAATGTTGGGGTAGGGTTCCATTCCCACACACGCCATTATCCACACCACGCCTTACAAGCACATTTAGGTACATTCCTGGCTCGTGTCAAACTTCCGGTCAAACTTCGTGTTTTCCGAGACCAGGGGCAAATTTTAGCCGGAAGACCCGAAGTGGGTCTCGGATGACCCAAAGTGGGGCCAACTATGGGGCAGCTTCGTGTCATCCCCGGAAGACCGGAAGTATGACACGAGCCAGGAACGTATCCTTAGACTCACCCACCCCCAGTTTCGCAACGTAAAAGAAACAATCGAAGCGCACAGAAAACATCAATGATTGTGACAATCTCGAGATGTTCACCTGGTTTTGCTGCAAGAGCCATCAGCGTTGTCTTGAAGAGTTCAAAATGCGGCAACGTGTAGAGCACGCACCTAGTTTGGGATTCTTAAAAACAGAAATTAGTTTTGCATGTATTGGTATGGCCCAATGAGCCTGTACTGTAAGCAGGGTGGCCTTCCGTGTAGGAAAACCGCCAGCTTTGAAACGCCGTCGTGAACTGAATACTTGATGAAACAAATCGTGTTAGCTATTTCTGGATAGGACTCAGAGTCACAAGTGCTGGAGAACACGAGCAAGGGCTGGGAGGTGCTCGACCTCAACGAAAACAAGGTCGTCACCACGATGGAGGCGATCTTATACGAAACGTTGTCGCTGGAGGTGTAGAAGGAGAACCTTGGGCCAGTGTCGGTGAGGACGCTGGCTACCCCGCCAACGGATCCCTCGTCAGCGACACTCCTGCTGCTTGCCGCGGATAGTGAGCCTGATAATGAGGACGCCGCGGACGCCCCACCCCCTCCTCCCCCTGTTCCCGCTGTACCCCCGACGGCGACCCTATCGCCCTCCCCTTCACCTCCCGTTGTCGACCCTCCTGGGCTGACATCCAAGTCGGCCACCGGCGATGAGGGGAGCATTGGTGCGTCACCCGTGGTGCCGACCGATTGCATCACCGGTGGCCCGTGACTCTGTGAAGGTCGGCGATGGCGGAAAGCAACCGACCTCCGGGAAGCCGACTTCGGGCGAAGTCGGCGTGGAGAAGCCGACCTCAGGGGAGTCGTCGGCACCCAGGCTGACGACAAGGGAGCAGCTCGACGACGACGACTCGTCGAGCGACGTTGTGGAAGTCGTTGGTGAACCCGGCGACGATGAAGGGGAGCTGTCTGCCGGGGAGAAGTCCACTGACAGCGACGTGGTGGAAGTTGAAGCCGACGAGCCGAAGCTGCGACGTTCCACTCGCTCTACCTTTGGCAAGCCTCGCGAGAAGATGAGCTACCACGCTTGCCTGTCGCCGACCTCGTGTAGCACGCTGCTCGACGATGCGCAGACCGACGTCGACTTGCCAGAGCTCGAACCCGACGTGCACCCCGATCCAGAGCACCGCTGGGATATCGCCAACATGACGGTGAAGAGGCGTTGACGAGCTGGAAGGACAAAGCAGTAAAGGCCGCCATGGACGAGGAGATCTGGAGCCTCATCGCCAATGGCACGTGGGAGCTGGTTGAGCGTCCGCGCGGTGCCAGTGTCATGAAGAACCGCTGGGTGATGATGACGAAGTACCATGTCAATGACACGGTCGCCCGCGAGAAGGCACGCCTGGTCGTGAAGCTTTACGCAAGTGTACAACGTCGACTACGACGAGACGTACGCGCCGGTCGGAGCTACGTCACACTAACGATCTTCCTCAGCATCGTCGCCGTCCTCGACTTGCACCTGATGCAGCTTGACATGAAGAATGCATTCCTGCAGAGCAAGCTGGACCATGTACTCTACATGCACTAGCCCGATTACTACAACGACGGAACCGGCCGCGTGTGCAAGCTGCTGAAGAGCTTGTACGGGCTGAAACATTCGCTACTGTTCTGGTACTCAGCACTCGACGCCGTGCTGATCTGCGCCGACTGGAGCAAGAGCCAGGTCGACGAGGCACTGTACTTCAAGGTCGGCGACGACGGGGTGGCATGCTGGGTGCTGGTCTACGTCGACGACCTGCTCGCAGCCAACAGCAGCCTCGCGATGCTGAAGGAGCTGAAAGAGCTGTTGGGGGCCGCCTTTGAACTGCTCGAGATCAGCCCGGTCGAGAAGTACCTCGGGCTGGAGATCGTGCGTGACCGACCGGCGAGGAAGCTGTGGCTTCACCAGCAGACCTACGTCGACAAGCTGCGAAGGCGCTTCATCGACAAGGAGCAGACCGGGCGGATTCCGAAGACGCCGGTCTCCGTCGACGCCTACGCTGAGCTGACGTTCGACGATGAGGAGGCTCAGTCACGCGAAGAGGAGGAATATCGGCTGAAGGTCGGCTCGCTGCAGTTTGCGGCGACCACGACGAGGCCGGACATCGCCTTTGCACGCAGCAAGCTGGGGAGCAGCCTGACAGTGCGGAGCGACCAGGTGTGGTGTGAGGTCGACCGCTGCCTGCAATACCTCACCGACACCCGTGACGCCGCCCTAGAGTTTGGCGGCGGACCTGAGTCGCTGCGTTTGGTCGACTACGCGGACGCCGACGACGCCGGCAACAAGCAGAATCGCAGCAGCACAAACGGTTACGTGTTCATCTTTCGAGGAGTCGCCGTCTCCTGGACGAGTCAGCGCATCAAGTGCATGACACTCTCGTCGACCGAGTCGGAGTACATCGCGGCCACCGAAGCCGGCAAGGAGGCACGCCGACTTCGCTTCCTCCTCACCGAGTTCCAGCTTCTCGACGCTGGGAAGCCGACCGTGCTGCACGTGGACAACCAGACGGCCATCGCGATCGCTGGGGGCTTGGGGCTGAAGGGCAACCTCAAGCACATGGAGTGACACTACGCCTGGCTGCAACAAATGGTGAAGCGCGGGAAGATAGCCTTGCAGTACATCCCGACCACCGACCAGCCGGCCGACTTCCTGACAAAGGCGCTGCGCTCTCTGGCCTTCAACCGGTGCTCCGTCGCGATCGGCCAAGTGCGCTTGGCTGACGTTGGCGACGGTGACGACGGCGTGCAGCAGTAGGCGCCATGCCCTTCTGCATGGTGTGATGAACGGCGTACTGTGTCTTGTGTGCACGCCGACGACGAAGTTTCCCCGTATATTCCATCCATTGGGCTCTGGGGTGGACCTTGGGTGCGGTGCCCAAGCGTGAGCGCGGAGGGGAGTGTTGACGGTAAATGGCCCCGCCCTCGCTTAGCCGAAGCTGACCTTGCAGTCGGGTGTGCGGGAGGTGTAGCCGGCTGCCCGCGGACCGCGCAGGATGCCTGCGCGGGACGTCGACTTGGTAATGGTCTTCGGGTGGTGTCGACCTGAGCGGTCGACAAGCACGTACACCAGTTTGCGGGTCTACCCAGTTGACCGAGTTACCTGGTCAACGATGTACCGCGAAAGTGTGTGATCATCGTCAGGGTTGTTGTGGCACAGTCGCCCAACGCGACAGCACGTGGTCGACGTGGCTCATCAGGCACAACCGTAGGCATGTGGCCAACTTGGCATCTGGGCGATGTGCGTGACGGTGCACGTCATGCTCAACCGTCTACAAGCACATACGAAGTAGGTGTACGCATGTGTTGTCACCTGTGGTTGCAACACTGGCAGGCCGCCCTGCTGCAGCATTGACAAGCCGCCTTGGTGCAGCGTGCGGAGAGTCACTACACA